GTACACGCACGTGCACACACACCCACGTGTGTGCTGCCTCACACCCTCGTACTCCGGCACGCGCACACACGCACACGCACACCGCAGACCCCCCGCCTCGTCCGGGCGGCTGTCTGGGCAGTGTCCCTCATGAGGCACGCAGGCTGCTGAGCCTGGCGCTGCCGTCTCCGGGGTGCCCTGTGGCCCCCACAAGGACGCAGCCGGGACGCACACCTGTACGTTCTGCAGGGCCACGTTTTCTCTGCTGCTTCCTCCGTGCACTGCAAACAGGGGGCTTTTACCCGTCACCAGGCGGAAGATGCCCACCACGGCCTTCACGGCTGGGTCGATGCTGAGCCGCACGTGGTGGCTGGAGGAGGAGGGGCGTGTGTGCGTGTGCAAGCCGGGGAACACACGCGGCACACGATTACGCTTAGCCACAGGAGGGGGACGGGTCCACCCCCTCTAGTTCTGGAACATTCGCGTCCCCTGAAAGGAGCCCTGGTCCCCACTAGCGGTCACTCCCGTCTCCTCTTCTGGCCCCGGATGACTAACCACTTTGTATGGCTACGGTTGTGCCCGTCACAGAAATGGAGTCACATAACGTGTCCCTCTGTGACTGGCTTATTTCTCGCAGCACAATGTCCTCAAGGTCCACCCACACTGCAGCAGGTGTCAGAACACCCTCCCTTCCCGAGGCCAAAGAACGTCCCCTGTGTGGAGGGACCACTCTGTGTGCCCGTCACCCATGGATGGACACTCGGGCTGCTGTGACATGGCACGCACTCGTTGGTCTGAGTCCCTGCGTCCCCTTCCTTCGGGGGTTTGCCCAGAAGGGGGACAGCTGGGGGACAGCAAAAGGGATAGGCAGCTCCTCATTTTCTTCTAAGAGGCAGAATAACGGGAACTCTCCGAATGGAACTCATTGTCCCCCTGTGGAGAGATGCCCTCTCTCCACCCTCCCCGGGAACAGGGGGCCACTGGACGGAGAGGGCAGTGGGCGGGCCGCTGGGCGGGCTCCCCTGGCCCCGGCAGCACCAGCCCCCGCAGCCTGGGCTGCAAGGAGGGGAGCGGGGAGGGGCGGCCATCGGACGCAGCTGGGAGTCGGGGTGCACTGACCCGCGGGTTCCCTAGAATCTGGCTCAAAACACGAGCGGAGAAACCCGCCGGCCCCTGGGGGTGCCCTTGACCACAGATGTGGCCGCAGCCCAACGCCAGGGACCAGCTCTACCTTCCAATCTGCTCGGCCAGCTCCCTGGCCCGGTCACTCGTCTCCTGGGAGGAGTTCTCGCTGGCCATGTAGCAGGTGGTCAGCAGGCGCCCGCAGAGCTCTCGGGGGTCCTGGGGGGTGTAGCTGACCTGGCTGGTGATGGCCCGGACGTCGGCCAGCACGTCCTGATCTGAAATCGGGGGGCAGATGCCACTGTGCGCGAGGGGCTGCACAGCTCAGGCCCTCTCCGTCACCCCAGAGTCCCGTCAGACAAGCAGCATCACCCGTTTGTATACGCTAAGGGGACGTTCAACGTCATAGCGCGTAGTGGGGGGACATGGACCCGGGTTTGCCTGACCCCAAAGCCTGTGATCTTTCCACTGGGCCCTGCTGAGAACAGACAGCGACAGGGAGCCTCTGTGGCATCGAGGACGGCCGCGTGGGCCCAGACCCCGGGGCAGGGACCGTAATGGCCAGGGACTTGGGCCCGACGTTACGGCACCTGAGCACGTCCCCAAAGCCTCCTCCACCCACGATGCGTGCGACCCGAGTTTTCCCCTGGGGCCTCCCTCGGACCACGGATGTCACCTACTTCCGTTCCTCACGGCCTCGCAGACCTGGTGGCACATGGAGTAGACGAGGCAGGCGGTGGCCGCGCTGTCTATGCCGCCACTCAGGGGGAGGAAAAAGCCCGCCTGGAACGGGGCGACCAGACGCAGGCGTGAGCAGAGCCTCGGAGAAGCAGCGTGCCCCATGCTCGGCCCGCTCCACCCGCAAACCTCGGCCGGGACCCACGACAAACCACGCGGGCGTCTGAGCTCCCGCTGGGGAGGAAAAAGACACCTGTGCCCCGCACTGTGGATTCTAGAGGGCGGACCTTTCACTGCGGAGAGCGGCCAAGGCTGGTTCTCCACGGTCCATCACAGACGGGCACGGCGCCCAAACCAGCGGGAGGGGGCGTCCTGGGCCCGTGCCAGCAGGCAGGAGCCCGCCAGGACTCAGAGGCAGAGCCAAAAGCCCCGTGCGCCCTTTGGCCCCTGGCTACGGCAGACCAAGCTCCCTACCGAGTCGCAGTGAAGGAAGACTTCTGGTTGCTTGCGCTTAAAACCAAAATACCTAGCCCGCCGGAGACTCCATCGCTAACCAACTGGCGGAAGGAGCAGAGTGAGCCGGTGGCACTGAAGACTTACCTGTTGGCTACGTCTTAAGAAATCCCAGAGCCAGCAAGCAGGTCCGAGGCTGGGGAACAACGGGAAGCGTTAGGTTTGGGGGCTGCTGTCCTGGTCCGCGGCTCACCTGGGGGCAGGTGCCAAGGTGGGGCAGGGCCAGCAGAGCCGTCAGCAGCCCCGGGCTCCCGCGACACGCCGGTGAATTAGCACATTTTAATCTCAAAATAGCCCTGGCAGGTCGGTACTGGCCCCGGCCCCATTCTGAAACGGGGAAACTGGACCACAGAAAGGAAGGACCTTTGTGTCAAGGTCTCAGTGCAAGGAAGTGGCACCCGGTGGTGTGGCTGTGACGTCCTCGCCCGCAGCCCACAGCCCCAGTGACTGTGACCACCTCCCAACCAGTGGCTGCCCCAGGCCGGTAGAGAACCACTCGCAGTGCTTGCTCCGTGCGGCCTCTGCCGGGCAGACTGCCCAGCGCAGGGTGGGGCCGGGTGGCCCCGCGTCCTCCTGCAGGAGGGCTGCCCACCTGATCTCCTCGCCGACGCTGTGGTACTTCCACTCCAGAGCCTCAGACGGCGGCTCCAGCACGTCCTCGTGGTGCGAGAGGGCGAAGTCCACCTTCACGCGGGGGTACGGGCTCACCCGGCTGGCCTGCTGGCGGAGAGTCACGATGCAATGACGTCCCCTCGGCACCCAAACCCTCACGGGGCCCCAACACGGACTGGAGAGCAGGAGGCTGTCAGCCGGCGGGACATGCACGGCAGGACAGTGGCAGGGGGCCCTTCGCTCCGCCCAGGACGCTGGGAGCCGACAGACGGACGGACGGTCACAAGTGCTGGGCAGCCGTGGTGGCATCGAAACCCTCGCGTGCACGTCATGCGGGATTTGATGCGGGCGGTGCCTCATGAGACGAAGCAGGCCCGGCACGGGGCCCGGCGACCCCACGGGCAGGTGACACGCGGAAGTGGGGAGGTGAGTCAGCCCGCAGCCTGGGCCCACGCTCGTGACAGCCTTCTGCAGAGTGCGGACGGAACGTGGACAGAACGCGGAGTCCACCCAAACGTCCGCGAGCAGATGAAAAGTATACCATTCACGGAACGGCCTTTGGCCATAAAAACGGACGAGGCGCTGACACCCGCCACCCGTGGGTGGACCATGAAAACGCTGTGCCAAGTGGAAGAAGCCAGACACAGGGACCACGCGCCGTGGGACGTTTCGTGAGAAACGTCCAGAACGGGCAGGGCAGAGACGGGCAGCGGCCCAGCGGTCGCCAGGCCTGGGGGAGGAAGGGGTGGCAGCCGCTGGTGCAGGGTTCTGTTCTAGCACGGAGCGGGGCGCCGGCTGCACGGGGTACGCGTGACGCCCTGAAACCCCTGAACGATGCACCGAGCCCCGGGAGTCACGGGCTGGAGGAGGGACAGCCCAGTCGAGCTGTCAGTGAACATGACAGAAAGCGTCTCCGGGGTCTGAGCAGCACCTACCGCCAGGTTGCGGGACGAAATCTCCGCCCTGTAGCTTCGCACGTCCTCCAGGTCCAGCGTGGCGGTGAGGACCTCCTGGAAGGGCGTTCCCAGAGAGGGCGTGAACTCCCGCTTCTCCCGCTCACGCCTGCTCTCGACGGGCGAGCCGCGCCTCCCGAGGCCGGGACTGGGGACCTGTGGCCCCCTGGGGCACAGGGGGAGGGGAAGGCGGGCGGTGTCGACGACCCAAAGCCCTTCCCTTTTATTCACGGGACACGATTTTGCCACCAAACATCGGCTGGGGTTTCTATTCTTAAAAAGACACGCGGGAGCGAGGGCCCCTTTTCTGCCTCGGGGTCACGTGGAGACGGGAGGCTGGAGCTGCTGCAGCCATCCTGTGACCGCGAGGATGACGCCCGCGCAGAGGAAGGCCCCGCTGGGGCTGGCAGAGGAGCAGCACGCAGCCCCGGCGACCCACGCCGGAGTCACGTGGGTGTGGGCTAAAAATTCAGAACCCTGGGGGTCTGACTCAGGGGGCCTGGGTGGCACCCGGCACCTGCGGGGCCCCTGGTGCAGGCGAGCCCCGCCCACCCGCCAGTCCACGCCCCCCAGGTGCCTGCGGTGTAGAGGTCCCGCCAATGTCCGGGCCAAGCCGGGCGGACTGCGCGGAAAGCACGGCTCAGGCGGGCGTGCCGCACACCGAGGCGCTCGCGCGCACCTGGCTTTCCCTCCACCCACTCCGCGTTCCCCGCGGCTAATACTGGACGACCGAGGCCTCTGGGGACACTGGGGACGCTGTCACTTGGGAAGCGGCGCCTGGTGGACGGTCAGGAGCGTTCCTGCTGCAGCTGAGCTGCCAAGCCCTCGCCTCCCCGGGGCAGGAAGACGCTGGGCGCCTTTCACGGTCGGCTTCGTTTGGCCGCTTCGACCCTGCGGTTTGGTCTCCCAGCCACCTCCTGGCCGACAGCGGTGCCTGCAGGCGGTGTCGCAGACCGTCCCCCGTGCTCCCCGAGGAGGTGAGGCAGGCGGGGTGACGCCGGAGGGGCCCGAAGAACTCGGGTCGCTCCGTGCTCAAGCCTGCCCCCCGACACCGCGGCCCTTGGAAACGTGTTCCTTCGGCGCCCCCCGCCCCTGTGAGCAGCACCCACAGCAGTGTTCGCCCAAAACCGAGAGCCGAAGGCGGCTGGGTCTAAGGGCAGGATGGGGGCTGCGTGCGAGGGGGCACCGTCACCCTGGATGGACGGTCCGAGCCACCCAGGACGACCCTTCCGCTCACGCCAACTTCCGGGCGAACTGGAGCCGCCCTGCTGCGTGTGCGCCACTGGACTCCACGTCCACTTTCCAGCTTCACGGAAAAAGTGTGAGCCGCATGATTCTCGACGAGGACGCTTTTCGGCTCACTCCCGAGGCGTGGCTTCGAGTCCCCAGTGCTGGCACCAGTCCAGCACGCCCGTCACGTGCTCCCGGGGGAAGGAGGGGTCCCCCGCCTCTCGTTACTGCAAGGCCGCCACCCCCACGGCGCCTGCCTGTTCGCTCGGCTCCCCAGGGCCACCTCGGGGTGACTGACTGCGTGTGGCGTGGGGCAGTGTGCAGGTGTGGCTGATCAACCACTGAGGCTCTCTGTCCGGCGTCACTGCCGTGTGCTGTGTGGGGACCAGCCCCCCAACGCCTCCGCCGCCCACCGGGTGAAGAGGAAGTGAACAGGCAGGACACCCCCCGGGGCCGCACCGCGCACCCTGGCCATGGCGGGAACGGAGAAAGGGCTCTTACCACGTCGCCCAGAGAGAACTGGGAGCCCTGAGCAAACACGCTGCCGTTCATGGCGATCATGGCGCAGCCGTCGTAGTAGAGCCGGTCCCCGTCACAGCCCTTCTGATTGGCCAGCAGGTAAATCCCCCCGTTCTGGAAGACGCAGGGCCGGCGGTGGGTGTCCAGTGTGGTCCGTCACCTTCGCCTCCAGCGGCCCGAAGACAGGAGGCTCCGCCGAGCTGGCTCTGCAGTCCTCGGCCCCCAACCCCACTCGGCCCTAGCTAGCGCCCCATCGAACGAACGCACGCACACAGGGCCCAGACTGCGTGCAGCGATGGCGGATGCACTTGGGTGCCAGGGGAACAGGTGTTACACAAACGTCTATTTCCCCAAGAGGCAGCCTTGTCATCTCCATCACGGGACACGCGGCAGAGCAGAAAACACAGACCCCGCATGATGAAGCCGAGACCCAAGGCCAGCTTAGCTGATGCCCCTGTCCGGCGCGTGGCCGACCAACACGGCCTCGCTGTGTCACGCTGCCCGAGAGGGGCAGACTCGTGGTGCTCCCCGCACCCTGCGTGACGCCGACAGGCAAGCGGCATGTCGTCATTCCCGGCTACCGCGTCACCTGTCCTGAGACAGTGCGATGCCACGTGCCCCGCGTCCCACTTGAGAGTGGGGTGACAGCAGTGCTGCCCCGTGGGGTGGATGTGAGGGCTGACCGAGGTCAGGCAGGTGGGCCCCTGGGGAGTCGGTACGTGCTGGTCGTGCACGAGCCATGCCTAGTAGCACCAAAGGGCCACCGTGCTGTGCCATGCCCTGCGCTGGGCAGGGGGTGCTCTGAGTGTGCGAGACAGGGGTGCGCATGCATGCCCCAGCGTCCCAGCCCGATGCCTACCTTGGAGGTGGCCATGGTCACCAGATCCACCCTGGCGTGGGCTTTGCGCAGCACGTGGTGGCTGCCCGAGGCGTTGGTGAAGATCTCCACGCCGTCCAGGCCCATGTCGATGTGCGGGCTGCAGGCGGAAGTGGGTTAAGAGACCGCTGTGCTCCCCAACCCGCCCTTCCAGCCTCCCAAACCCTCGGGGTGTCTCCACGGCCCACAGCCTTGACTCCAGGACGTCTGCAAATCCCCGGGCCTCCTGAGAGGATGGGGCTCGGGGCGGGCTGACCTGTGGGGCATCCAGAGCTCCTCGCAGACCTCGCTCCCGATGCAGGTGTCCTGGGTGGCCAGCACGGCGTCTCCGAAAGGCACGGTTTCCTGCAGTCAGGAGGCGAGAGGGCGTGAGACCCTCAGCTGTCCCCGTCTGCGCTACGTACTGACCTAGGACCCCAGACGTCACTCAGAAGACGTTCATGAAGGCCACCGTCTTGCTTCGAGCCCTAGACGTGTCCCTCCTCGACTCAGAGCACTGCCAGCCCAGGTGGCCCGGTGGCAGCTGGCGTCCCCCTGCTGGCCATTCCTGTCTGTAGTCACACATTCGTCAGCCGGTAGCTCACTGTGGCTGCGACAAACCGACTCAATCCCGGTCTTTCCGCTGGCGCAAATCGCCACCGCCCTGTTTAAAGAGATCAGCCCTCGTTTATCGAGGGCGCTCAGGGCCGGATACGGTGCTCAGCGCTTTCTCTGTGTCATCGATGCACCTGACGGTTTGACCAGGAGGATCCCACGCCTGTGTCAGAAACGACCCCAGGCTTACGAAGTTCCAGAAACCCGAGAAAAGTCACCCAGACCCTGTGTGGCAGGACAGGAAGCGGAACGCGGGCGTGTCCGTCACCAAGAGCCGCATCGCACACCACGCGTGCTGGCAGCCTCTGGGGCAGGACCCAGCACGCCTAATGCAGTTGCTCGGGGCCAGTTCGTGCAACCTGTCCTCAGTCAGCGAGACCGAGCAGAACCCCTCGCTGCAGACTGTACCCCACGTGGGTTTAGTGGGTCCCCACTGCGGTGGGTTTGGGGTATAATGGGATCCTAGGAGAACGAAAGGGGCATGTCTCACGGTAAGAGGGCTGCTACACGCACGCTACACACACGCACACACGCGCGCACACGCGTGCACACTCACAGTACAAACTCACACGTGCACATATTCACACATGTGCACCCACACATGTGCACTCACAGTACAAACTCACATGTGCACTCACACATGTACACATATTCACACAGCGCGGATAACCACACACGTGAGCATACACACATGCACACACACGCAGTCATACACTAACGCATGTGCGCACACGCTCACATACACTCATAACGTGCACATACACACACAAGCATACTGACACGTGGGCACACATGCACACACACAGTACACGCATGTGCGCACTCACACAGTACAAACTCGCACATGTGCACATACATATGTATACACCCGCACATGTGCACTCACACACATTCACACACGTGCGCACACACATACACATATTCACAGTGCACATAACCACACACATGTGAGCACACACACACGTGCAGTCACACACACACTCACAACATGCACATACACACATGCACACCGATACATGCACACACACAATGCACACTCACATGCGCACGCACACATGCAATACACAGCAAACGCTCACACACATGCACACTCACATGTGTGCACACACATGTGCATACTTGCACAGTACACACTAACACACATGCACATACTTGCACAGTACACACTCACACACATGCACAGTCACACACGTGCACCGCACTAAGTCATGTTGATTTTTAAATGTGCTCGCGGCTGCAGTTGGCGGTCAGAATGCTCTAGATCACCTGAGAGTGACCAGACCTGGCTGGGAGTCTCTTCCCCAGGTCTCGGCTGTGCCTCCGACTGCCTGTGAGAAAGGTCCTGGCCCATGCTGGCCCCCCGGAGAGCCTCTCAGGAACCGGGGCAGCTCTGTGACTTAGTCTGGCTCCTGAACGGGGGTGACCTCAGCCCCACACCCCCAACGGCAGAGAGGACGACGGAGCCGGGCCTGGGGGGATCAGGGGAGGGCACCCCACCTCCTGAGGTCCAGGGCCGTCCCTGCCGACCTGACCCACCTCTCAGGTTCAGAGGCTCAGTGAATCCGCATGGCCCACCTGACAGCGATGATCACGGCTGCAGAGAATTTGGTGTGATCGGCTGAATCGTGTCCCCCAAATTTGTATGTTGGAGCCCTGACCCCCAAAATGTTAGAATGTGGCTTTATTTGGGAATGGGGCCTTTAAAGAAACAATTAAGGTACAATGGGGCCACTGGGGTGGGCCCAAGTCCACTGTGACTGTGTCCTCATAAGAGATGGGGACACGGACACACACAGGGGGACAACCACGTGGGGACACAGGGAGGAGATGGCCGTCCACATGCCCAGGAGAGAGGCCTCGGAAGGAACTGCCCACCTACACCTGGATCTCGGCCTCCAGCCTCTGAGACCAGGGACAGTGAGTGTCTGCGGTGTGAGCTGCCATCTGTGGAACTTTCTTGGGGGACTCTGAGCAAATTAACACACTTGACAACCAGAGTGGAGGCACGGCAGGAGCCAGAGCAGTCGGGGGCCTCCCGAAACACCTGTGTGGGTCCCTGGCTCCTGGCCGCCCGCAGGAAGTGGACGGGGCGGGGCGCAGCCGACCCACCCGGCAGCTTCCAGCAAGACGAGGACAAACGAGGCCCCAGACCGGGCTGCACGGTCAAGCTCTGGGCCTGGCCAGTGGGTTCGAAGACGGGTCGCCAACGTTGGGGTTTCACAGAAGGCACAGGCAGCCACATAACGTCCTCCGTGAGTTTATAACAAGAAAGCCCCGGCCTGGCTTCTTGGCTCCCCGAGGCCCCGGCCCCAGCAGGAAGCAGCCGGATAGGGGGTGGCAGGAGACACTCCCCATGCTCCCCACGGAACGCCCGCCAGCTAAGCCGGAGAAGAGGGGCCCTGAACACCGTCCCGGGCTCCCGAGACCCCTCCCCACTTGGACAGAACCCCCTCTCTGTGTGGATCACTTCCACGAGCCACGGGGGTTCCGTCACTTTGACACCAAGGCTCCTGCCCACATGGTCCGCCACCAGCCTTGGAGGGTGGCCCGTGACTGAAAACCACGTTTCGTTCCCCGAGACTCACCTGCTTGGTCAGCTCCTGGATCATCCGAGGCAGAAAGTAGTCCTCTGTTTGCCTGCGAAGGGAACCGCGGAAGGAAACCACGTCATAAAAACGGAGCGTGGCGTCCAGATGTGACGACGCCAAACCGGGAGCTCCCCGTCCCCGTCCCGGCGTCCCCGCACTGTGAAGGACACGGCACGGGGACCACTGAAAAGACGGCGCGTTTCCCCACGCAGGAGTCGGGGGGGCGGTTCCTGATCACGGTTTCCGAGTGACAGAGATCACTCTGCACTCACCCCACACACAGTCACGCACATGTGTCATCTCCGAAATACTCAACGACGTCCCAAGTTTTACAAGACGGACAGAAGAGCTGAGGACGCAACCTGAGGGCTAAGGCACCCCAAGGTGCTCCAGTCAACGGTGGAACCGAGACGGTAGATGGTTCGGCGATTTGAGCTCGAACGGGCCGTGGCGAGGGGCCCCGTCGAGGCAGCGAACTAGCTCTTTTTCTCTCCTTTCTTGGAATTCGCAAGAGCTGCCAGGACGGACGATCTCTGTGGCTGTTTTCCTTAAGTAATTTAAAGGCCGAGAAGTGCACAGGGCGACACCGCCTCCCCTCACTCACGGCGGGGCCCGGACGAGCGGCCCCGCTGAGCCTGAGCGGCCTGGCCGTCCCGTGTGGGGCGTCTGACACCCCCGCAGTGCCTTTGCTGGTGGTGACGCTGCTGCTTTTGTTGGCGTGATCTTTTTGAGGTTTATCCAAGTTCACGCCAGGCCCCTGGTCTTCCCGCATGGGGTGACGCTGGTGCACGTCCCCTGGCGCCTGGGGGGCAGACGACGGCCGGCAGGGGGGCAACCCCCCGCTCACACCGTGGTTTCTACTAGGGTCGGGGGGCGGGGTCCGAAGCACAGCGTCCTCAGTTCTCCAGCTCTTGAACTTCCATCAACCCGGTGCGGCAGGAAGGGACTCCCCGCGATTCCATGCACGTCGTCCTGAGCTCAGACGGCGGCGAGCCTTCCGCACGTTGATGGGATTTTTCTCCTGCGAAATGTCTTGCTGTTTCTTTCATTTTTCCCATTCAATATTTTTTTGGCTTTTTCTTACCGATTCGTGGTTCCTCATACGTCCTGAACAATAACTGTCATTCGACCCGTTTGCTCAGCATCTACCATGAGGAATCGAGGAGACTACCAGCTAAGACGGACGCGGTGTGGACAGGGGCCAGGCGCTGTGCCCAGTGCTCTGATACGCGGGCCGACGACGTCCCCGACCCCACAGGACGGTGGCCGCAGTTATCCCCGAGGTGCAGAGCGGTTGGGTCGCTGTGTTGGCCTGACGCTGCTCAGCGGGCGGAGCCCGGGCGCACCTCTGCCCCCACGGACACCTCTGTGCGTGGACCAGGCACGCCCGATCCCCAGGGGCCGCCACCGCGTCCTCCGCCCAGCGGCTGGCGGTGTGCGCTCTCCTGTGAGACACAAGTTTCTAAGGTCGACCTTGCCAACCCTTTACTTTATGATTTGCGTTTTCTGCGTCTTGTTCACAGATTCCTTTCCTGTCCCAAGGTCAGCACGGTATTCTCTGGTACCGCCTTCTAGAAGATTTATACTCGGACTTTGCCCGTGTAAATGCCTGATCCTCCGGAAGGTGTTGGGGCCAGTGACTTAATACTCCCCCGCCTATGTGGGGGAGCCCCGCAAACACCTAGAAGGACGGGGCTCGGAGGGCTTGTGGGTGCGTGAGCACGTGGGGGTGTGGGGACAGCGTCGTACTTGGAGAGGGCGTGGGGAGGGAGCCCCCAGCCCTGCCCCACACCGTGCCCCATGTGTCTCTTCCCTCCGGCTGTCCCTGAGCTCCGTCCTCTTAAAACGAACTGGTGATCTAGCGAGCATGTTTCTCTGAGCTCTGTGAGCCCCTCCGGCAAATCAGCCGAACCTGAGGGCCGGGGCTGTGGGAACCTCCAGTCTACAGCCGGTAGGTCAGAAGCACAGGTGACAACTGGACTTGCGATTGGTGTCTGATGTCTTAGGGGAGACGGTCTTGGGAGACTGAGCCCTTAACCTGTTGGGGTCTGATGCAGCCTCAGAACTGAGTTAACTGCTCAGCAGCGTTAGAATCGTAGAAAGTACTGGAAGCTGCGTTCCAGTGAAGGAGCAACTGACGAGAGACGGGCAGTGGATGCGGGAGCGGATCGAAGCCAGGGGAGAGGGACGAGGTCCCGGAGAGGCATGACGGAAGGGGTGCCGCTGCGCAGCAGGCCCGGGGAGCACGGGGCGGGC